CCCGGACGGAGCTGAGAGCTCTGCGGAGCGAAACGGGCATCTCTTAGCACAAGGGGAGGAGACGGACGCGAGCTGCATCAGGGAAGGTTTAGGTTGGGCATTAGGAGAAATTTCTTCGCCCGGAGAGTTGTCAAGCACTGGAACAGGCTGCCCAGGGAAGCGGTGGAGTCGCTTCCCCCGGAGGGATTTAGAAGACGCGAACATGTGGTGCTCGGGGACGTCCTTTAGTAGTGGACTTGGCAGCGCTGGACTGGATGATCAGAGAGTAGTTTGAGTCGGGAGGGACCCTGAAGACCATCTCGTTCCAAGCACCCAGCGTGGGCAGGGACACCTCTCACCACACTAGGTTGCTCAAGGCCCCGTCCAACCCAACCTTGAACATGTCCAGGGAGGGGGCTGCCACAACTTCCTTGATCTTCAAAAGACCTTATAAGTCTTTTCCAACCTAAACAATTCTATGATTCTCTCTCCTCTCCTCCTCTTTCTTCCTCCTGCAGTTTGCCACATGCAAGGATGGATTTCACAGAAGCCTATTCAGATCGATGTTCTGCCGTGGGGCTTGCAGCCAGAGAAGGAAATGTCAAAATGCTGAGGAAACTAATCAAGCAGGGATACAGCATCGATGTGCCAGACAACAGGGGGTGGGTGCCAATCCACGAAGCTGCAGCTCACCATTCGGGTGAATGCCTGAGGCTGTTAGTACATGCAGGTGAGGAAAATGATGTGAAATAGTACAATTTTTCTGCCAAATTACCCTGTTGTATAAAATACAGATTAAAGAGATCTCTTTTACTGTATTCTTACTTGTTTGGTACATTTGTATGTGGTTTCATAGATGCTGACTAGCTAGCTAAAGAGCAATTGGTGCAGTGTAGTCTGTGAATGACATTTGATTTTATTTACCTTCTTGAAAGAGTTGTTTGTGCATCTGCTGTAGGCCACACATCTCAAATTTTAACTCAGTTATTTTAAGAAAATAACTGTTTTGTAATTTATTGCTAACTGTACTCTTTTTTCCCCCTCCATTATTCTCGTTTGTAGCCCCATCAGATGACTACATAAAGTCCAAGACATTTGAAGGATTGTGTGCACTGCACCTTTCAGCACGCCACGGGTCTGTGGAAGGTGTTCGTGTTCTTCTGGAAGCTGGGGTTGACCCCAATGAAATTACCACCGAAGGAACCACCCCCCTGTTCCTAGGTGACAAAAGCTTTCTTGAAATCTTAGTATGACCGGTGAGAGGGGGAGAAAAGCTTATTTGCTGAGCTTGAACTTGCCAGACTTCATTCACTGGCTGGAACGTTTTGTATTTTTGTAGCCGAAGTACTAGGCTTTACACTCGGAAATGGAGTGGTTCTAGAGATTACTTTTTATTTATGGATAAATCCTCTATATTTTAAAACAAAATTGTAAAGCTAGATTGTTTTTCTGTGTCACCTTTTCTTTCTATCACAGAAAAGGCTTAACAATTCTGATACAGTGAGTCTTCAGAGTCTAAATCATCTGATTAAATCATAGAATCATAGAATGGCCTAGGCTGGAAGGGGCCTTAGAGATCAAATATGCTTATTGTTTTACTCACCTCTGTACCTAAACAAACATTGTAGCTACTGCATGACCTCCATTTGCAATTCTATTCACTTTTTATTTTTGAGCAACTAAATAGCTTATTTGATTAAAACAGTTGGTGACAGCTAGCACTTGCGGGGAAATCATCATTTAAAAGCACACTGGACAATGGTAATTAAGAGTGAGTTTAAGTGTATGCATAGGCTGCACAGGGCCAAGGAACAGGCTGCATATCCAAGAGATTTTTAAAAAGGACGTTTGTTGTCTGTTAATCCAGGCTATGAAGTGGGATGATGGCACAGCTCTGTGCTGGACACGGGGTACTGCAAGCTGGAGGCGCTCCGCTGGCGATCTAATATGCTAAACATTATAGTGGCAGCTATTCTCAGGTCATTTATTTTACAGGAAAAGTGTCTTGGTAGAATTGTCAGTGGAAAACACTTGAGGATGACTCAGGATGCTAAAGGAGACTTTGTCAATGAACCTATTGACATACAGGAAATGTACACATACATTAATTTTATATAAGTGTTAAAAGAGTTTTAAACCTATTTTTTAAAAAGAAAAAAAAAAGTTTAGGGGAATTTGCTGTAGAATAGCCACTGGGCTTCACAACTTGGGGAGGCTGTTGTAACTGCCATGGAGTCATGTTCCATAGGAAAGAGGGAGGAGAGAAACTTGCTTTTATTACCTGCATTAGCACAATATAGGTGAAATTTTAACGAGCCTAACTAAAAAACTATGCGGATAAATTTTCATTCTCCAACACTGTTTTGGAGGTGTAAACATGAAAGGCAAGTAAGCCTACATAAGGCAAGTTAAAAGAATTATGATTATTGTGTTACGAGTTCTTCAAATCCATTTAATAATATTTTTTAATTCTTTTTTTGACTGTTCTATTCCAAGCTGTTGAAAATAGACATGCAGACGTTGTAAAGTTTTTGCTCCAACATGGAGCAAATGTTGAAGGATCTCATTCTTGGTCTGGATGGAATTCTTTGCACCAAGCTTCTTTTCAGGTAACCTGTAAGTGTGTGTAGTTTCCATGTAACTGATGTGTTCTGAATGATAATTTACCTACGTCATTGCCTTTTTATTGGGTAGTTTTTTCTAATCTACCCTAACAGTCATAAAGTTGTCTAAATGATGAGGGCCTTGCAATGTACTGGAGAGTGTATCTGAAACTACTTGAGATGTTGAGACACAGTAGTTATTTAAATATTATAAATATTGCATGAACTCAGAAGCTCGTATGTTGTATTTGGGAAGTGAATCTCTTACAAGATCTTTTGAGAAAGAATTCTATTTAGTGTCTTGTCATCAGTGAAATGCATGACTTATTTCTAGAACAGAAATAAAATTAGCTTAATGGTTCTAATAAACTAATTTAATTTCCATTTTTATATATCATGTAAGTGGGCAAATGTGAAAAATTAAATTAAACTTGTCTGGTTTTTTTCTGCCATTATTTTTTTTGGTACATCTTTAGAATAGTGAATATAGAAATATAAGAAATATTTCTTATTTTGGGGCGGGGGAAGAAATAAATTATGTCAGTTCCCCAATTTTTGTGGATTAAGAGTAAAGATATTTATTTCAGGGATGCACTGAGATAATGAAAGTACTCCTGGAGAAAGGGGCAAGCAAGGAATGCCAGGATGACTTTGGAATTACGCCTTTGTTTGTTGCTGCTCAGTATGGGAAGCTGGAGAGTTTAAGACTGCTTGTGTCCCATGGTAATAACAATTATTCCTTTAGCTTTGTTGTTTTTAAACCTGCATCAACTTGTCACATCATAACTTTGAATTTTAGTGGTTTTAATTAATTCTAGTTGCAGATGGGTATGCAAAACTGTCTTTATTGCTTACTTCTTGTTTCAGTAGTTTCATGTAGCTTTCAGCAAGTGATGTTAGGAAATAATAAATCAAAACTATGAAAAGATTAAGGATCAGTAGAGTCTTCTAGAAGCCCTCAACAGCACGGGTCTGATTTTGATGACGTTGTTCTTGTAACAGGATATTGTTCAGGCTAAGTGGAGATATCTCTCTCTAGTCATAAAGTGAGAGCAACAGTTCCGTTCATGTAATCAGCATGTTTTATATATTTAAGTGCATGTGTCCTTATAATTAAAATTAATTGCCATGACTTTTAAAACTGAGGGTGCAATCACCTGACCAGAGAGCTCGTGCTAACTGAGCTATCAAGCAGGGAGAGTCTGAAAAAAAATAATTGCAATCAAAAGACTACCCAACCCATTGCCTTTCCTCTGGCGTGTTTTATCTCGTGCCCTGCTGCTCTTTGACAGAGTTAATATAAAAGCACTGGGTGTTTAAAAAGTTAGCGACAAATCAGTAAACGTTTCCTCATTGCTGTAGAAAACCTGCTTTGAAGTGTCGCTGTGAAAACCAATTACTGATGAGCATTAATTTGTTGTTTATTTTATGTCCTGTTGTGGTGATGTAAAGTACTGGCTTTTTTTCCCCGTCAGGTGCAGACATAAACTGCCAAGCGAAGGACAGAGCCACTCCACTGCTGATCGCTGCGCAGGAGGGCCACACTGAGTGCGTGGAGCTGCTGCTCTCGAACGGGGCAGATCCAAACCTCTTCTGCTCCGCTGCCGATCCACGCAGCGGCTGAGATGGGCCACGCAAAGTAGGTGATTTGAGAGACAATCAGGTGTATGCTCTGGTAATGAAAACCCAGTCGGTAAAGAAGTTCGCATCCAAAAGGAAGAAAAGCGAGTTCTCAACCTGATTTGGGGTTTAGAATTCATAATTATTTTCGTATCTTAAATGTCCCTTAGTAATCCCTGTAAAGTGAACAACCGTTTTGAATTCGGCCTCTAACCTGGGTCTGATCCGAATCCTAATGGTTCAGAGGGTTTTCCACCGTGCTGAGTCATATACCAGTTCACTCAGTAGCCCAATTACTTTTACATTTTGAAATACAAAGAGCGATAGCATGTGCTTTATATGTGACTTAAGCAGCCGCTAATTAGAATTATAGTCCTAACCATTAAGCAGCAGAAGTAATATGCAAATAATGAATTGGCTGAACCAGACAGAAAATCAAAGCCACAAAACTCTTCTTTTATTCCTTCCAGAAATGCATTTGTATCTTTCCCCAATCCCAATGATATAAGTTGTTTTCACAGCAGGAAGCCAAGAGTGGAAAGAAATCCCAGAGTAGCAGGCTGTTGCGGAGAAGCATCTCTCAGGAACCCCATCATTTGCACATGTGTGACAGTGCTTAAAATCTAATGTATTAATGATGACACTACCTGCAAAATTATTAGTAGATGCTTGATCTTAACTCCTGGCAAAAGCAGATCATCAACTGTACTGTTGTTAAAGTTTGTGCATCAGTTGATGCCTCTCCTCAAACTGATGTGGAGGGCAGCCTGTAGCAGATATTGAGGAAGCTGGGTTTTGTTCTTTTTTTTTGGAGAGGGAAGACAGGTTAGCAGAGTTGTCAGTACTAGAAATGTCTTTAAGTCAAAGCTGTCTTCATAGCTTTTGCAGCAATATATAACAGGCAACTTGCGAGCAGCACCAGTAAGTTCTGGTAGCAAAAGAATTGGTGTTTGTTGCCTACCCTTGTTAGCTGGAAAGGGCATAGAGGCGTGAGCCATGACACAGAATGGTTCTGCTTTGGCATCTCAGTGAGTGCTGTTGAAATGAAAGTAAATAGTGGGGTTTAATATTTGCAGGATATTGGAGTTGCTAATACCAATTACAGATCGGATCTGTGACAAAGGCGAAGGCAAAGTGAGCCCTGTGTATTCAGCAGTATATGGTGGTAACAGAGAATGTCTGGAAATGTTACTTAAAGAAGGCTACAGCCCAGATGCTCAGGAGTGCCTCAACTTTGGCTGCCGATCACCCATGTGTATGGTCTTCCAGAAAGAGTAAGTTTGCCTCGTGTTTTGAAAATACTCATATTTGCCTTTATTTAACTTCTAAAAAAAATGAGCAGAATTAACTTTGCTGGGATATTCTTTGCTGAATATATTTGAATGTGTATGTTTGTAAAGTGTGTAGTAGCTGCATGCTGTTAATTAATAGGATTGCATGTTCTTATGGTTGGCTTAGGAAGATTTTTTTAAAATCTAAATCAATCTATCATGCCACAATCATAATAAATAACTTGGCTGTGCTGTTCCTTGTGTGCTGTTTATAGGTTTTTTTATTTCATTGATATTTTCCTGAAATATGGAATCACCTTGCTTGGGATTAATTTGGGATATTGCCTGTTCCATGAAAAGTTTACTTTGTTTCAACGCTTCTTGAAGCTGGGCTGTTCGCTGCCTTCTGGGGACCAGTTATCGGAGTTCATAAGCTACACAATTAAGGTGCACAAGGAGTACAAGGAATGGCTGCCTTACCTCCTCTTGGCTGGTTTTAATCCAGTGAATTTAATGTGCAGGTTTTGGTAAGCAGATAACGTTATCTTGTTTACTTAATATTGTATGCTAATCTGTAGAGCTGTTGCCAGTGTTATCTAACGCATGCTTTCAGAGGACAGTGCTCGATAATCATTTGCCACTACCAGGAATGATGAGGGCAAGTCTGAAAGAAGTTGTCCATGAGTAATGGCTGGATTCAGTAAAAAGAATTTCTTTTAGGAAGAAAGCCAGAATGGAGGCTGCTTTATCACTACCCTGGAGAAATGCACCATTGCACAATTTTTGTATCAAATCTCTCTTACTAGCCCCCAAATTTATTTGTAAATTCTCTGTGTGTGTGTGTAATACAGTAATGGTAAGGGGAATTTCAGATACCAAGAAAAGATGTCAGGAGGGATGGAAAACAAATCTTAAGGTGAAAGCCAGGCCAAGGCTTGGAGGAGAGGAAATGGATGCAGTTAGAGATTGTGTTAAGCAAAATAATGTGGCAAAAATGCCAGTCTGATGCTTGCTTTTTTTTTTTTTTTTTAATTCTTCCACATACAGATAACTGCTTGGTAATGTTTTATATTTAATTAGGCACTGCAGAATTAAACTTACATTTAAAATTATGAAGTATTTGTATTTTCTTCTGTGTTTCTTGTCAATGAAGGTGATGCTTGGGCTTTACTACCGTACATCTTGGCTGTTAATAACATAATGTGAGATGTATAAACTCACTACATGCACTACTTACCTCTATGAAAGCAGCAGGATTTTAAGGTTTACTTAAATGTTGACTTGTATTTCAGATACTGTAAAAATACTGTTGTTAACTTGTTAGTGCTGGTTTTAAATGCATCAGGACTTAGTGAGATTCTGTTAATCATGAGCATCTGTGGCTTTCTGAACAGTAATTAGAGGAGCATATCTAAGGTGTGGTATATCTGTAGTTTACCTTTATTCATAGGAGACTACATGACTGCAGAAGGAAACATGCTGCAGGATTGCAATTCAGTGATTACACAAATCTCACTGTCCACGTGTGTCATATGTTATGGTTTTTTATTTTTTTCTTCCATAATCCACAAATGTTTTTAAACCAACTAATTCCTTTGTTTAAATATCTGCTTTTTACAATAATATGTATCACATCATAATCCACAAAACTAATGTTATTATAAGCTCCACTTCAATATTAACTATTCAGTCCTGGAAGACAACAGGAGGGTAGTAGAGAGCAAGGGACATTTTTATATATGATTCCTTGACTGTCTCTAGCTCCCTGTGCAAAACAACTGTATAATCAATCATAAACTGGTCAGTCTAGAGCACTGACAATTTTAATTACTGGTGGGAAGTGTAAAATCACCATTCTCTGGAATAAAGTTAGACAATCGGATCTCTCTCCTGTATGGTTTTTGGTGAATGTGTGAAAGTTCAGTCAAATACAAAAAATGAAATAATAAAAACTAGAAAAGACATAAAATAATTTTGACATGAATCTCTTGTAAAAAGCTAACGTATTAAAAAATTTTAGTCTGGTAATTTTGTGTGTTTAGAGCATTTAAATTGCCATTCAAATGAACCTTCGGGATTTTACGCATCTAGCTGAGAAGTGTCATGGAAAATTGCATAGCTCTTCAGGTTATTAAGTATTTGTTAGTAAATAGTGAAGCCTTCTATGTGTTGTTTCCATTCTTCTATTTACACTATTGTGTTTTGTTTTGTAGGATTTTCTCTGTGAGCGAGAACGTCCTTAATTTCATCCTGGAGTTCACAAACTGGAAGAGACTCCCTCCAGCTGTAGAGCAAGACCTTTCAGACTACAAAGAGAAGTTCGCCTGGACTGCTAAGAGCCGTTTTGGTAAGCAATACAAGGAGGGAAAAAAAGCCCCTGTGTGTGCCACCGTCCAGGCTGTAAGTGGGAAACAGCGCTGGGTGCTGATGCGCGATGGCAAAGGAGGTGCAGTAATCAGTAGGCATTGCTCATCCACAAACTGGGCAGCAGAAGTAGCACTTACCCTAAACAAAAAAAGCAAGCAAAACATATTTAGATTAATTTACTGATTACATTACTCCACTCAGAGTGAGCAGGTTTAGTTTAGGCAATCTTGTCCACTTCACATTAATGCGTGTGCTATAAGGTAAGGGTAGAGACTGTGAATTAGCACTGTGCCTTCCCGAAATGATTCATTCAGCCTCCTGGAAGATTTTTGGTTATGTTTTCTAGACAATATCCCACTGATGGTATTCTCTGATTTGTGTTTCCAATGAAGTGTCTATGCTGTTCTGTAAGCATCTGACAGTAATTAAAATGCAAACCTTGTAAAACATCGTGTTAAATACCTACAAATCTAGTTGCATATCATTGCTTCTGTAATCAAAATGTGGTCGACCAGTAATTGATTGTGCAGGAGAACGTTAGAGCTCGCTGCGTTCACCCTTCAGAAGAGGAGTGAACGCTCTGTGACCCGCACCTTATGTTGTGAAAGATTGCACTCAGTTGTCTTCTAGTGATTCATTTCCAAGCAAATTCTTCTTTAGGGGCTCTGTAATAATTTTTTAAAAATGTTTAAGTGCTAATATTATTGAATAATACTTCCTTTGGAATATTTGAAGCTAATTAGGATACCTTTTTGGAGTAGAAAAACAAAACAACAACATTTTATTTGGGGAAATAACGATGAAGTTCATTCTTCATTTCTTTTGCTATTAGGAAATATATTTGTGTTGTAATAGTATCCAGTAACTAAAGCCAAAGATGGAAAGCAGAGAGGAAAAAGCAGGGGAGGAAGTTTGAAAGTTTTCACTTTTCCATTCTTTCAGCCAAGAGCAGTCAGGGCAAGCAGGACAGCTGCTGTGCTGAGAGGCAGGCTTCCCCGCTTGAGAAATACCAAGCACTCAAACTGAGATAAACTGGTCGTGCAAGCGAGCATAGGAAATTTAAAAATGGTTTGTGCAGAAAAGTTCAAGAATGGGCATCCACGCTTCCAGCTGAAGGCTTGCAAAACATGTGGTCCCATGGAGTTACACATCTGCCATACTTTCCCTTCTATACTGAGGTACAGAAGTGATTGCAGTTAATATTATGGATTCCTTGTGAATAAAATAAATGGAGAGTTTGGAGGCACTAGAGTTCTGTATCAGGGTAAGCTGATTTGTAAGATGAAGGTTTGTGTTTGAGCGAATGCACGTTTACAGACGTGTTTGTGTATCTTTTGGTGCAGTGCTTGTCCTTAAGTCGTTTGGCAACATGATAGAACTTCTATCGTCATATGCCTGCTGAGCCATGCTGTCAATTAGTACTTATCCTAAAAGTGTTTTCCCTTGTGTTATTTTGTTGCTGGTTTTACTTCTAGACTTATATTTTTTCATTTCTTGTAAGGCAGCCTGAGCTTTTCTCTCCCCAAGCAGGTAGCTGTTCTAAGCTGGTTAGATGAGACTTTCTGATTAAGGCTAAAATGATTATTTGATGCCTTATTTTTAGAAGTATAAGATAACGTTTCTAGCTTGGGTAGGGAAAATCCAAAAATGTTGATTCTAGCAGGCAACAGCTCTTCACTGTTGAGAGCTCTGCCTTGTTATCTGCCAGAGACTGGGGGTTCAGATGGGATCCAGCTAAGCCAGGTAACTGCAGTTAAGTGTCCTGTTCAGTGTTTGACTTGGTTTTTCATTTTTCAGCTGTCATTCCTTCCCTTTCCCATCTTTGTCGTCTTGAGATCCGGTCCGTTTTAACAAGTGAACATCTGCGATCAGACCGGTTTATCCGGGAATTGCCATTGCCAGCTTGTCTCCAGGACTACCTTCTCTACTTAGATGTACTGCGGGTCAACGCTATCCCAGGAGCAGAGGTTTATCTGGGGCAGGGAGAGGAGGCAGCTCCCTCTGCCAGTCACTGCGGCGCTGGAGATGCAGAGAGGAGGGACGCCTGTAATGCCAGTGCTAGGTGATGGCACTGCCAGTGACTGAGCTCTGCATTTTGTAACGGCAGTTAGACACCGGAGAAGAACTACTGTAAATGACTCTAGTAATAAGTCTTTTCATGCTGTAGTTTTATACTGTGTCTACAGGTTTGTTAGGAGATCTGTGATTTACTTCTTTTAAAAGTCCATTGTAGCTTTCTAAGTCTGTGAATGTTTTCTGGTTTTTGAAAGGAAGTAATTTCACAGAGTAAAATCAGCTTGTTCAATGAACATAGCTCGTGTAGTGGTCGAAATCGATTTGGTCAGGCACTGTTAGTTGATGCTTTATTCTAGTACTCCGTATACCAAATGAAATTGCCTTAAAGTCAAGGAACACAGTGTCATATTATTGTTACAGATTTACGTGTTGGAGAGTGATTTAGCTGAACCAGAGAAAGGAAAATAAGAAAGGAAATAATTTGCTGAAGAAACAGCGATTTTCTTTTATTTTCTTTTCCTTGGTGGAACACCGACGTGGGAGGCTGGCTTGGAGCCTGCACTCAGTCCCTCGCCTTGTGTAGGCCATGGGCAAGGCACAAAATGTCCCCAAGAGCACACCACCACGGCACCACTGTACAAAAATGCCTCCTTCCATGAAGTGAAAAAGCAGCCGCTGTCCCCACTGGGTGGCGACAGGGCCACCTTGGTGACAGACAGCTGCATCCCTCGTGCCGGGAAAGCTCTCTTCCTGCAGAGGTGAAGCCAGCACTGCCAAGCTCACTGGTAGTAGATGCTGAAGGCGTGAAGGATGTACAGGAAAGTCGTGACGAAGGCAAAGAACTGCACAAAAGGAAGAAGAGCAAAAGGTGGATTTAGCTGGAGAATCTAACCCCATCTCCTTTCGGTGTTCTCAACCTAGGAAAACCTCCCAGCCTTGAGCTCTCCCTCTCAAAGAGGCAAAGCCTCCCCCACTTGCCAGAAGCCGCCACACAAGGTTGTCTGTGAGCTGCTGGACCTCAAGAAGTCCATGCTGGGCACACAATGCAACAGAGTTGAGGGAGCTGAAGCTCTGACCAGGGTGATGCTGCTGGGCTTGAGATGGCTCTGCTGTCGCTTTAATATTTGCTCTGGCATCTCCCCAAGGGAAATAGTGGGCACTTTGGCCTGCCCTGGGGTTTTCTACACCGACTCACCGATGCGGCGGTGTTGAGCTGGTAGTAAAGCGAGGTGGTCTCAAACTCAGAGCGAATTGTTGCGTTGGCTTGCAAGACAGCGGCGCTCATGTACAGAATGGCCGTGGCGCCATGGTACAAGCTGTCCTGCAAAACAAGGGAGCAGCGAGGATGAGAGCCTGCCCAGGACCGTCTTTTTTTGACTTGCCCTGAGGAAGAGGTTTATCTTCTGCATGTCCAAGTGCTCAAGTGGGATGCACACACCCAGAGGGAGGCTGAGACCAAACACTCTTGCCACGCTGAACCCTCCCCTTTGCCCACACAGCGCCCTCAGCATTTCTGATCAAGGCAAAATGAGCAGAAAGGGCTGGTTGTTTGCAGAAGGGTCGGCAGCTGGCCGGCTAACCCATCACTGGCCACGGTAGTCATGTGGCCCC